CCGCTTCGATGTGGAAACGGCCATCAAGGTGCTTCGCCAAGCGGGTTACTACTCCCATGCTGTGTACTTGGCAGAGAAGCACGCGCATCACGAATGGTACCTCAAAATCCAGCTAGAGGACATCAAGGTGAGGAGGTGTTACTGCTCCCGTGTTCTTACTGGGGAGATGACTGCTTCTCGAGCCTCCTCTTTGGTGGGAATACCGCTTCACTGACCTCTTCCCTGCGGCTAGCGTGCTGACAGGACTGCTGAGGCAGCAGTAACCGTGCCCGCTTTCCGCTCTTGGCTTGGGCGGCAGACTAGGAGTGGAAGTCAGAGGGGCTTACTTGTCCTGTTTCAGATGTGGCGTTTTACGGAGCCCTTTAAGCGAGGGGAGATTTCCTTAGCGAGAGCTTGATCTAAATGGCACTCTCCTTCCCCTGGGCCCTAGTCAGTCTTCCTCCCTGTTCCAACACTGAACAGGTTGCCCAGAGAGGTGGTGGAGGCCCCGTCCCTGGAAACATTCCAGGCCAGGTTGGACGGGGCTCTGAGCAACCTGATCTAGTTAGCGGTGTCCCTGCTCACTGCAGGGGGGTTGGACTAGGTGACCTCTAGGGGTCCCTTCCGACCCAAAACATTCTATGATTCCGTGAAAACAAGCAGGAATAGCGAACTAGGAGATAATTCGGAGCAAACGGTGGTCGAGGCATACTCTTAGTGTGTCTTCGGTGCTTTCTGTCCTAACTGCAAAGTGGAGATCAGAGCAGAGGCCGGTGTCATGCAACTTTTTGTTTGGTTTTGGTTTTCTTTCCTTTCGCTGGCTGCCTCCGCAGAACTACCAAGAGGCTTTGCGCTACATCGGAAAGCTGCCTTTTGATCAGGCGGAGAGTAACATGAAGCGGTATGGTAAAATCCTGATGCACCATGTCCCGAACGAGACCACAGAATTGCTGAAGATCCTTTGCACCGATTACCAGCCGTCGGGAGACAGCGAAGACCCTGGGGTGCTGGAAGGAAAAAAGGTATGGTTTGCGTGGACTTAAAGTTGTTGTTCTCAAGTAGCAACTTCTCGGCAAGCGAGCGCTGCTCCGCACCTTGTGGAGCAGGGCTCGTGCTTCAGGTATAATGAGAAGCCCTCTCCCGCTGCACTGCTTAAAGCGATTGCTCAGAACCGATTCCTGCCGTAATCGGCCTCCCGTACCGTGCTGTTTCTGTCGGGTCACGGATACTGGGAGGAAGCACTGCTCTGGCTGCGACTGATCTGGGCGCTTGACTTTTTTTCTGGCTGTGTTACAGGCTAATTCGGAAGAGTTCATTCCAGTCTTTGCAAACAACTCCCGAGAACTGAAGGCTTTTCTGGAGCATATGACTGAGGTGCAGGCTGACTCTCCGCAGGGTGTCTATGACACTTTGCTGGAACTTCGACTCCAGAACTGGGCACACGAACGAGATGAGCAGGTTTGAGCGCCTCCAGCTTTGTGTTCCGAGAGGGGGAGTTGGTGTCTTTGGATTCCATTTACATTCATTTACATTCCTGCCATCCCATAACCTTCCAGATGGGCGTTGGTAACGTGAGGCGATACGTACGCTGTGCTGGACGAACGGCACGTAAACGGGAAAGCAGCCTGCTAGCTGGGAGAATGCTCCTTTCGGCGAGGCTGAGCTTGTTTTGTACGCATCTCATTGAAGAACGGATTGCAGACAATATCACCTCTGTGGGCAGATGCCTCTCCCACAGAAGTAGCTCTGTTTGCTTGCCAGGGTCTCGGAGGGTGCTGGCCATTTGGGCAAAAGAAATCGTGTCCCGTTTGCTTAAAAGGGGTAGAGGGCAAAGAGCAGAACTGTCCTCCTCTTTGAAAGAGCTGCAAAGTGCTGTCAGGTCTCGGTGCGCAACGTTCTCTGCGCGCGCTTGCGTTGCTCTCCCCGACTTCTCCCCCCTTCTCTGTAGATCAAGGATAAGCTGCACAATGAAGCCCTCACCCTTCTGAAGAGCGGAAGGTTCAAAACAGTCTTTGATAAGGCCTTGGTCTTATGTCAGATGCACAACTTCAAGGATGGAGTTCTCTACCTCTATGAGCAGGGCAAACTGTGAGTGTCGCTCTTGGCCTTAGAGTCCTGTCCCTGTCCCCCACCCCGCAGGGATGTCTGAGCTGAAAACGTCCCTGCCTTACAATGGTAACGACCTGTTCGGCATCTCAGGATGGGAACTGCAGATCATTGCTCAGCTGAAAACATGTTGTTGTTGCTAGAGCAGGGCAGTTATGTAGGGAGCGAATGACGGACCTAGCTCGGCTTCCATGTGAACATCTGGGGATTGCAGGGCTGGGTGAAAACCCGAGGTCCCTGTAACAACTCAAAAGGAGAGATCGTTGCGGCTGATGAGTCTCTCTCTCTCTCTCTCTCTCTCTCCCCCCCATAGTTTCCAACAGATCATGCACTACCACATGCAGAACGAGCAGTACAAGAAGGTGATTGAGGTGTGCGAGTTGTATGGAGACCAAGAGGCTTGTCTCTGGGAACAGGCTCTCGGCTACTTTGCGCGGAAGGAGGAGGACTGCAAAGAGTATATTGCTGCGGTGCTGAAACACATTGAGAACAAGAATCTTATGCCTCCGCTGCTCGGTAATAATGACGTGTGGCGTGCAAAAAAACGTCCCCAAACTAGTTTTTAGTGCGCTCTGTAGATTAGAAGTTTGAGAGAAGCATCGATGAAGTTTGAGCCTGCCATTTGAAGTAATAACCTGCTCTGTGGGGAAAAGCGATGGCAGTCGCAGCTCCCTAATTAGGGCAAAAGATCTGTGGTATCGGTCGTGGAGATGGCTGTACATGGTGTCTGTTCTGTCAGCGTGGGGAGGCGAAGGGCTTGCTGACAATCCTGCTGTAGGGAAGGTGAAATGGAACCCAATCCGCTATGGCCTTGCCTTGCCCCTTTTGGTCTGAGCTATCCAAACGCGATCCCAGTCACCCATTTCTGGAAGAGGTCAGACTGAAACAGTCTTTCAGTGAGCTCTCCGATTCGGTAAGAATGCTGACTGCCTTTGCCTGTAAGCGGCCTTAGCAAGGGAGGGTGGCCCGTCTGGGTAGGACTAGCGTAGCTGCAAGTTTTTTGCTCGTGTTAAAAACTGACGTCTCGGTTGCTCTCAGTTGTGCAGACGCTGGCTCATAACTCCACAGCCACGCTGTCGGTGATCAAGGACTATCTTGTCAACAAGCTGCAGAAGCAGAGCCGCCAGATAGAGCAGGATGAGCAGAGAATTCAAAAATACCGAGAAGAAACTACAAGGATCCGCCAGGAGATCGAAGAGCTAAAAGCGAGGTGCGGGACTGCGTGTGCCGTCTTGTCTTATGCAGGATAGAGCTGCTGTTTTCTTTTCTTGAGGGGAAAATATTCTTTGTCTTTCTCACCCTTCTGCCTCCTCTCGCTCTCTCAGTCCCAAGATCTTTCAGAAGACCAAGTGTAGCATTTGCACGAGTGCCCTGGAGCTGCCTTCGGTCCACTTCCTGTGCGGCCATTCCTTCCACCAGCACTGCTTTGAGAGCTACTCCGAGAGCGATTCAGAGTGTCCTACTTGCATGCCCGAAAACCGCAAAGTGATGGACATGATCCGAGCCCAGGAGCAGAAAAGAGACCTGCACGATCAGTTTCAGCATCAGGTGGGTGACATTGCCTGTCTTGCCAAATGTAAATAAATAGGATTTAGATTCCTCTACGGATCTCCAGAGGCTGGTAGAGAAGGGCAAGGCCGGATGTATTTTGCGAGCAAGGTCACGTCGACTGCGAATAACGAGGCACTGGGCCCTATTGGTCAGCGTGACGGCTGGTTGATGAGTTGTATAGAACAAATTAAGGAGAAAGGAGGAAAAAAAAAAAAAAAAAGCTGCGTGAATTGGAATGGGGACGGGAAGGTGCGGGTACACCAAAAGTGTTGCGTCTGCTTGGACAAAGCAGTGGAGTCGAGGAGGGGGTATTAGCTGGACCACGTTAATGCATGTGGAAAATGAGCGTAGCTGAGGGCGTCGCTTCCTTGCTTAAGGGAATTGTTCGTTACCGTTTTGGTGCGTGGCTCAAGTGTAGAGTTGAAGCGGGAGGTGGAGCGGCCAGCGGCAGAAGACGTTAGCCGAGGCAGCCTTGTGCTGGTGGAGCGGAGCGGCCGAGGAGGGACGTGAGCCGGGGGGCCGGAGGCAGGAGCCTCGGGAGGCTTTGCTGATGCCGATGCTTTGTGTCCGGCAGCTCAAGTGTTCCAACGATGGCTTCTCCGTTGTCGCCGACTACTTTGGTCGAGGCGTCTTCAATAAGCTCACCCTCATCACGGACTTGCCCTCGGGAAAGGCGGCTGCCACCATCGAGGCCGGCCTGCCGCGGGGGGCGCTTCTCCCCACC